TCCTAGGGTAAGCAATACTGTGAGTTAGGCTAGATGTGAATATCCTGATAGCATTTACTTCCAATCCTAGCTGCCCCTACCATGCTAAATCTAGGATTTCATACCTTCAACAGGTCAATCTTCCCAGCATGCCGTGCGTATAAGTCATCAGCCCTCTTCAGTGCACACACGTGCAGCGGCAGATCGCTGGAGGCGAACACCGTCAGGAAGATTGAGTTAAGCCCCTACGTGGGAAACATCAAAGTTCCAATATCAGAATAGATACATCACTCACCCCTGTTTCCAGTAATCTATTTATCACAATACAGCCCACATAAATACATTACAGACTGTGAAACATGAGAGCCACATAAATACATTATAGACCATGAAAAAACCTGGCTCAAGGATTTTGGATCAAACAAGAAAGCAGGTAAGGAAAAAAGGTTTATAAATACAACATCATCTATATACAATAAATAAAACATCAAAACTCCTTTGATCACTGTATGCATCGTCAACTTTGATGAAATAAGCCTTCATTAAATTATGAAAAATTTTATTCATGGTTATCATAAAATAGATGTTTGAAACATTTATGTATGTTTACTACAACAAAGCAATTGTAATAATGTAAGTACATGTACCGGTATACTGAAAAGTCTTCATACATTTTGTACCCCTTTCAAATCATGCTTCAGGGAAAACTATTGATCATTTTTCCTTCCCTTTACACTTCTATCCAACCTGCTCTCCTCTTTCTCTGTATCAACCTCATAATCCTACTAGTAAGTATGTAGATCACAGCTGAGACAGCCAGGTTTTACATGTTCTGTAATGTATTCCTGTCGACAAATATGAAATGTGAAAGTTCACCAGATCGTATTATCAAATAAAGTGGAGTCAACACTTCAATTTCTACTTGGAGCTTTCAGATCCATCCAAAATATCTGTCAGAATATAAATGTTGTGTTGGATGGAACATATAGCTGGTTGTCACTCTCATATTCATGTAGAACTTTGGGCTTTTCTTATTCTTCTTAAGACCCACAAAGGCAAAGTGATTGCATAGGCCATTAAAGAGTCCACATATCATCAAGTTGGTGCTGTTATTCAAACAAATGTCATGCCAGACAGTCCTGAAAGAAGTTCGGGATTTGTCTGTAGTGTGTAATGGGAAAAAAAGACATACCTGGGATCATTACCAGCTGACAGGTTTAAGTAAAGTCATGGCAAGGCAAGGTCAGATCAGCTGAACCAAACACTACATGGGCTTGGAGCAACAATACCGGTAATTTAAATCCACTCTTCCCTACCTCTACATAGTCCACTCTCCCCAGAGCAGCCAGGAACAGGGTTTGACCAGGTCTGAGCACGGCTGTGCGGGGAATGATGGGTCGGGATGGGATCACCTTCGACAACTCCTCCGATGTCAGCAGGTTTAGAATCTGTTGTTATACACAGAAAATCATTACATAGAAATCACTCAGACCAACAGTATAGAGCAATGTTTTAAAAAGGTTCTACTCATCAGTATCATTGGCTTTCCAAAGTATGTGTACATTTTAAGCATTGACAGTTTCCAAAATCAAAGTATGTGTACATTTTAAGCATTGACAGTTTCCAAAATCAAAGTATGTGTACATTTTAAGCATTGACAGTTTCCAAAATCTATCCAGTTGCTTGAGCAATAGTTTTCTTGTCTCATTACAATATCTACATGTCTGACCTTCATCAATGCACAATGCCGTGTTCAATGAATGAATATTGTGAGCTGCATGCTGAACTCTTAGTTTAATGGTATGTGAGAGCTTGTGTGTGTTTGTGTGTGTGTGTGTGTGACTGCATGTGTGCATGTATGTGTTTGCATGTGTGAGCACACGTGTGTGATCTTGTGCTCACCTGCTGATCATTGATATACCCAGGTGTGTCACACACCCACTTCCCTCCTTCAAAAATCTGAGCCAGGCCACTTGGAGTTTTGGTTCTGTCCTCCCTCTGCAGCTCCTGTCTGTGAGACAGGTCTCCCTCTGCCATGGTCCAGCCATCCTCCGGATCCCCTGACAGTTTTCTCAGAGATGTGCTGAAGGACAACTCTGCTTCAGCATCTTCCTCGTACAACAGTTCCTGGCTGTCAGTTCTTCCCACATGGCCTGAAATATGCATAATGGAAGGCCACAATGAAGAAATATGTCAGCAGTTTCACCAGTGTGCCAATGACTGTCCAAGGGCTAAGTTGTGCCTGTTCGTAATTGATTGTACTTTTCTGTATGCTTAAACTAAAAATTCACTGACAAACTGGTCACGTGGTCAGTTAGCATCCTTAAACAAAAAAGGAGCACATTAAGTTACCCGGTAACAAAACAGCATAAATTTGAACACTAGCTTCTTTGTGTGGTTATAGAAAAGTAAAGCTGTTAGTACATGTATTATCAAACAGAACTGACATGGTTACCTACCAACTACATAGGCCTTCCTTTCCATCTGTTCCATCTGTTGTGTAGGCCTGGACCTGAGCATCTTGTTCCTCTCCCAGAGTCTCTTTTTCCGTACTGCCAGCCGGGCCTTCCGTTCAGGGTTGATCATGGGGAAACGGAGCAGGTTCAAGGTCGTGCCCGGCCACTGTGAGATGGTCGCACGCTGGAACACCTCCTCTGCTTTTTGCTTGGAAGGAGACAAAAAAAATGTAATTTGCATGAGTATGATTGTTCTATATATATGGGATTGAGCACATTTATCTCGGTCTGATACTCTATGTCTATTTTGTTAAAACTTTGAAATACTGTGTGACTAGTATATGGGACACATTTGGTAGACCATGAACAACCATCCATGTACCAGTAGGCAAGCTTGCAAGGTGTTGAAATTGCAAAAGACTGTTGTTTCGTAACTTCGAAGGCTTGTTATCTTCACTACTACAATGTAGTACTTTTATCAGCTATATCTGCAATAAGTGAATTGGATATTTCATAATACTGAATGTGAAAGAAACTTTAGCTTCATTCTCTCTTCTCAATGCTCTATTGTTCAGTTTTTCCAAACCCGTTGCCAGTGTTACAGTGCCGCTGCAAAACTAATTGGTTCCCTGGAGTCTGTGATCAGGGATACAGTACATGCTCTTTTAACTCATTATTTAAGGTCCTGGTGAATGAGGCACAGTTGAGGTGCACTGACTCAAGTAACTAGAGTTCCATGATCTTATACCTTTGTAAATGATGTGAATCTTAACCTTTATGACTGACATGGCATAAATGATAATATAGACAACCTGCGAGATTTCATATAGGGCAGATTTTCTTCTAATTGTGCTATGAGATGCCAATTTACTGACATTTTATTGTGCTAATGCCGTGTTGTAATGTTATTTGCAGCCCAGAGAGCAATTTCTTTTGCTGAAAAGGAAGTTATAACACTTTGCATCAGTATACAGAAATTTGTAAGGGCCCCAGATGTGGCTTACTAAGCCTGCATTAGGACTGCAAAGCTCTTCCTTTATCACATGCATTTTCAGTTTTTGCCTGTAGCTGACAGCTTGCATGTGGGTATTTTACACTGTAGGCCTGTAGAAAGTAACAATACTGTAAAACATGTTGAACATGTACCATGATACGAATAACTCATTAACTGTTAAAATTTTCCATAATTGAAAGATATCAAATTGTTTTAAATAAAAGTAAAACAGAGACACTCAGTACAAACATTTCTTTGTGCTTGTTTGGAAACTCACCTGGCAGAAATCGGACTCCAAGAGACGATTGAAGAGCGTAGACTTCCCCACGTTGGTGTTTCCCAGCAGGTACACATCACCTCGGTAACCCCACATGGTCTGGATCTCCGTAATCAACGCCTCCACCCCGTACCCTGTCTTAGCACTGATCAGGCAAACGTGCTTTATGTTCTTGTTGTCATGCAGCCCCGCCCGGAGACAGGCCATGAACAGTTCGTCCTCTGTTCTCCTGGTGTAGCCGGACCCGTCTGGGGGGAGCAGGT